CTGAATTAAGATTCTCCTTCCCTCTTTCTCAGCACATCTGGTGGGATCTCTCTTCAAGGTGAAGTGACTAATCTTTCACCCTTGAAGGATAATGATCATGTTAGGGAATGCTGAGTCTGCCTTCCAGTTCCTCGGCCACAAATGTCACATTGCTGTTCTGTCTAAAGCTATAGCTCTGACATCTTCAAATTGCCAAGTACATTGCACAGGAAGATTCCTTGAATTATTGATAAATCTGCATAATTTGAGGAAGTAGAAAATGGGAACATGGTAGAATTAATAGTTGTTCTACTTCTTTCTTCAAGAATATGGCATTTCTACATGTGTTGCACAGAAGGGAGATCTTATAACTAAATAGTTAATTTTGTAGGAAGGACATTTGTGTAGGAAGATATAAAGGGTACTGAAAAAGAAAGTCTTGTATCATTCATCAGTCTATGCCCTGGGGACTTTGTCCTTTTTAGTGAGTTTTCACTATAATATATATTATACATTATTGTATTTTTCACTGTAATATATATTAGTAAATATTGGTTGAATAAATAGATGCATTTAGATGAAGACAAAGCTGATTCAGGTATATTAAAATCCAGATTGTCAAGAGTATTCATTCTCAGCTTTGATGTTATAATTCATTGTACACTATAATAAGATAGATTGTCAGCAGAGAGATAAAACCTTTTTCAGGTCATGGTGCCCTTAGTGCATCGGTAATTTTTTTTTATTTTACAGTGTCTTTGGCCAAAAGCCAAACCAAAGCAAAAAAATTAGCAGGTCAATTTACCCAATAGTTAAATTTAAACAACTTAACATTTCTATCCTAGCAACTTATTAATGTCCTAACGACTTAGTAGCCACTGGAAAAAAAAATTAATGCATGCAGTTTGAAGGAACTAATATTTTTATTTCATTCTTAAATCATCACAACTATTTTCTAGTAAGATGTGCACATCTGTTGGTCACTGCACATTTTCTAAACCTCACAGTTAGATTCGATCTCCCCCATCATTTTTCATTCTACTTTTTTTTCTTGATTCTTGCTTTTTAATCTCAGCAATTCCCCAAAGCCCAGCTTCAAAGAAAAATGATGTCATGAAAAGAAATGTGGCTTGATGTAGTGTTCAAACAGTGAGCTACCTCAAACTAGTAGTTTACAAGATGTCTGACAAATTCCCTCCAATACCTGAAATATGTTCAAATATTCCAGTATGAGGTCACTATGGTGCACTGAGGTATTTGAGCCAATAACATGTTACCAAAAATAGCATACTAAAGGTACCACTCATTTTCTTTAAAATGAGAGTGCATGCAGTTATTTTTATATCACTTACTCATTGACTGGGCTACATTTTTCTGTAGTTGGAGGAAATCAATGAATATCATGGCTAAGGATGTGAAAAATGCATAATGAGTAATCTATTTTTTAATTTTTTATATCATTAAAATATTTTCATTGAAGTAATATTGCATTGTGGTCCCAGTGTGCATCATTGAAAATCAACATATATATATATATATATATATGCTACATGTAGTTCACCACTAAATGTTCAGTTCTATCCTTCAGCAATATCATTGTCCACCTTGTCCTGTATATCCAACCCACTTCATCCTCCCCTTCTGGCAGCCACTAATTGGTCTCAAAGTTCAAAAGTTTATTTTTGTTTATTTAGTTTATCTGTTTGTTTGTTTTCTCTATATACTACATATGCATGAAATCATATGGAGTTTTTCTTTCTCCATATGGCTTATGTCATTAACCATATACCCTCTATGTCCATTCATGCAGCAGTTGGTAGGATTTCCTTTTCTTCAATAACTGAATAATATTCCATTGTGGGCACATACCTCATCTTCTTTATTCATTCTTCGGTCAATGGGTACTTAGGTTCCAATGATTTATTTAACGTAAACCCTGCACTAGCAATAACTGCTAATGAAATATTAGTGTTTGGAAATTATGACTTAAGGCAATTTTTGATAACAGGCAACATTTATTTCAGCACCTCAATATGATGTGACTCCTCATCCTTCACCCTCATGGTAATGTGTCACATAATTTCTAGAAGGAAAGGTAGGGGTCTCTCTATAGTGGTTTGTATTTTTTTTTTTTTTTATGAAACAGATTCATCTGGCAATGTTTTAAAAAGGAATAATTCTCGAACATTTCTTCCATTCTAGGCCTGGAAGTGTGATGTGTCTGAGACTTCATAGGCTTCACCCTGTCTGCCATTTTCAATTTTCAGAGTCTGTTGACTCTAATCTTGCTGCTTATTTTGACCTATGCTTATACCCCATCCTTGGATGTGGCCTCAGGAACAGCAATAACACTAGATTGCTGGGGATATTTTGGAATTGTCACCAGATTTTCATAGGAAAAAATGATTTAGCTACAGAAAATAATAGAAATAATAGAAAGGTTTATCCTTCTCTCTCTGAACATTGATTGAGATAAATTCCCAGCTGCTATTCTCTATATTTATGTTATGAAAACAATGTTCCATATAATACAATCATTAACACTGAGAGTTTAATATGTTGGCAATGGTCAACTTCAGTCCTGTCACTACAGTGTTACATTTTGCATGTCATCCTGCTGTGTTAGATATGAGTTTTTAGTAAGGTGTCTCGAAGGCACCTAGTAGTTACTCAAGTTTCTTTCACAAAGTATTGATACAACTTTATAGAATGAGGTCATTTTTTGGACAACCTTTTTCAATAAGGACAAAAAAAAGTGATTCAATTTGTGTTGGTAAGAATTGCATTTAATTTGAAGAAAATGTTTGCTTTTCCTCTGATCACAGCATTTTAAGCATCAGCAGAATGCCTCTGCTCTTATCAAACCCCATAGTTTATGGCAGGCTTTAGATTAATACTTACACTCTCTAACAAGGAAAATAAATGGCATGTGACATAAAACTAGTATTGGGAAGATATTCATATTTAACCTAGAAGAATTTAGGATAGCTAACTGATCAGCAGCTATGCAGCCTCCCTTGTCAAGTTTGGACAATTATCTTAAGCATAAATATGACCAGTTCACTGTCATTCTCTGAAAAAGACTACATTCTTAGAATAGAAGAAACAAATATGGAAACATCAGTATGATAATCCTATGAGTGTTTTTCATTCTTCTTAATGTCAGCTCTTCAAAAATGAAATGCTTATTGTAGTTGCCCCAGATGAAAATTATTTTATGTATATATTTTTTCAATTTTTTAAATGCAGATTTACATTTAAAAAATGCAAATTCTTGGAATCCCTAAGCCCACTTTTGAAATTCTATAGTCCTGGAGTAGAACAACGATATTTTTAAAAACTTTTCAGGTGATTATCATAGAGACCACACTGGCAAAAGATACTGCTTGTGTAGCACAATGAAGAGAAAAGGACCCCAAAAAACAACTATTTGTTTGGAGGTGGAGCAACTGGAACATTTATACATTGTTGGTGGCTGACATAAGAGCATATAATTCCATGTAATAAGAAAAGTTAGAAGAAGTAATACTAATCTAGGGTGATAAAAATCAACTGGAAGAAGTGGGATTGACTGAAAAGGAGCATGAAGGGACTTGGGGGTGATAAAAAATTTATTTTGTTTATACAGTTATATACATTTGTCAGAAATCATCAATCTGTACAATCATTATTTGCATATTTTACTATATACAATCATACTTCATTACGTTATGTTATAAAGAAATATTACATCAATCAATTCATAGCTATTTTTTTTTTTTTATAAATTTTATTGTTATATTCCCCATACAATTGCAGCCCCCATTCTGACCCCAATCCCTCCCCTCCCGCCCCCGCCCGCCTAAAAGTGTCTCTGGTTCATAGTTTTTTGTTGATTTTGATTTTCACTTTCTTATAGTTATTCATTTTCCTGGTCCCTTATTTAAGTTTTCTAGATTCCTGCTATGAGTGAGACCATCCGGTATTTTTCTTTTTCTTTTTGGCTTATTTCGCTGAGCATGATCCCTTCCAGCGCCATCCATGTTGCTGCAAATTGCATGTGTTTATCTTTTTTGAATGCTGAGTAATATTCCATGGTATCTATGTACCACATCTTCTTGATCCAGTCATCTATTTTTGGGCATTTGGGTTGTTTCCAAAGCTTAGCTATTGTAAACAGTGCTGCTATAAACATAGGGGTGCAGGTGTTCTTTGGAATTGATGTTTCTGTGTCCTTTGGGTAAATACCTAGGAGTGGAATTGCTGGATCATATGGAAGCTCTATGTTTAGTAGGTCCAGAAATCTCCACACAGCTCTCCACAGTGGTTGGACCAGTTTGCACTCCCACCAACAGTGCAGAAGAGTTCCTTTTTCTCCACACCCTCGCCAGCATTTGTTGTTGCTAGTTTTTTTAATATGTGCCATTCTCACTGGTGTAAGATGGTATCTCATGGTAGTTTTGATTTGCATTTCCCTGATGGCAAGTGATGTTGAACATTTTTTCATATGCCTGTTGGCCATTTGCATTTCCTCTTCAGAGAAGTTTCTTTTTAGCTCTTCTGCCCATTTTTTGACTGGATTATTTTCTTTGTTGTTGCTGAGTCTCATCAGCTCTTTGCAGATTTTTGTGATCAGTCCTTTATCATTAGTGTTGGGTGCAAAAATGTTCTCCCAGTCAGTGGGGTTTCTCTTTGTTTTTGTTATTGTCTCTTTTGCTGTGCAGAAGCTCTTTAATTTGATGTAGTCCCAGCTGTTTATCTTTGCCTTCATAGCTATTTTATAAAGTAAAAACATAATAGTCTCCATGAATTTAAAATTGGGAAAATCTAATAGGTGTGTTTTCTCTTTTAGTATAATAATAACATTGATTGGGCTTTATCTCAGTCGATACTCTTAACAACTATTTGTATTAAGTATCTTTAGGCTTTAGCAGCAAGGAGACTAAGACTTGGAGGGTGCTCCAGATGGCCATGAACTGGCTACAGAGGGTAGCCAGCACACTGAATCCCTGATTCAGTGATCATAGTATTTTTTTTCCCCTTAGGGGAGAGCGTGAATGCAGTCCCCTATGACCTTAAATTATGCAGTCGAGTTTCCCACATTTGGGGAAATTGCAAGGGTCAGCACATCAGGAACGCAATGGATAAGCTTCACCCTGGAAAAACCACCTTCGTGATCATGGAATCTCCCCTGCCAGGTAAGTATCAAGATCATAGTATTTAACAGTAGATTCAGACAGTGAATGTCATCCCTAATGAAGGGCAAGCTATAAAAACTCCAGGATCATTTTACTTGGCTCTGTTGCCCAGGTCAGGTGTGAGGTGCTACTTTTGCTCTGCAGATTTCTCTAGGTCTTTTTGATTTCAGAAGTGTTTAAGAAACCTTGGTCTTGGCTTCCCTATTACTAAATACTTAAGTATTGAAAGTTGAATGTAAGTTCATGGGAATGTCTAATTATTTTGCAGAGGAAACATTTGCTCCATTCCTTCTGAATCTACCTACTGCAGACAACACACAACACTCAGGTTCTGAAAGCAGAGGCTTACAAGTGAGCAAGATCACAAAGAAGGAACTCGTGGCAGAGTCTACTACCTGTAGAGCATCCCTCACTTTCCTTTTTCTCAAGGAAGGAGATTTTCATGACTGGGCATTGGTATTTCCAGGATGCATACATCATGTGGGGCAACACTAGTTAACTCCTTAGACAATCGGGACAGAAACTTTTTCTGAACTGGCAAACTAAAATTGAAAACTGTTGTGTTGATCTGTGTAACTGAGAAATCCACCGGAATTTAGCTTCAGGCATGGATGAATCAAGAAGGAGGAAGACAGGAGCTCTGTCTTCTGCCATTGAGCTCTATTTTCCTGAGCACCAACTTCATTTTCAGGCAGACTTCCCATCCTAGGCACTGGAAGTTCTAGGATTACTCTCTATTCTTTCTGAAGGACAAAAGTCCTGGAGCCTATGTTCATTCAGCCAGCTGAAGTCATTCTTACTTGTTACTCTCACCTGTTCTGGGCATTTATCATTCTTTCTCAGTTCCTCTATTGGAAATATGGAGGTTATCAGCAGTATCAGTCAGTTTCCCCTACTTAATATGACCTAGAAGAGTTGACTTGGCAATTTTCCCCCCGCCTCCTTTGCTATGTGCTCTTTCCTACAATTAAACTACAAAACCACTTGGTAGTGATAGGTGCTTTATTCATAATGGTTAATTTCCAGATGTACTTTTAGACATGTAGCCAAAATTCTTTTTCTATTATTCTGTTCCCTTTTCCAATCTCTAAAAATTTTCCTACTATTTTCAGCTTTCTAAAATTTTAACAATTAAAATAGCAAACATTGATCTGTAAATAATTCTAAATAGAACAACCTGCAAAGAAATAAATAGAAAGATTATGCCTTCTTCACTCATCCTTGTATACAATTTACTCATAATTTTCATTTTATATCCAGAGTTTGCTTAAAATATTTTGTTTCTCTTACCGCAGTGTCTTGGAAATGATGAAAAGTTTTATTTGCAGAATCCAAAAAAGAGTTTTAATGCACAGAAAAACTGAATAAATGTGTATGGGGAAGGAAAAAAAGAAGGAAGCAAGAAAGAAGGGAGGGAGGCACCATGATTGCTGAGGGGAAGGAAGGATGGGAGAGAAGAGAAAAGGAAGAAATAGAAAATAATTACCTACCCCTTCAAAAGCATTGGCCTAGTTCTGAGGCACTCTCAGTAGAAAACTTTGCCAATTTTCCTATTCACAGATGGAAAACCTTATTACATCAATAGTAATTTGACTGTTTCTGAGTTAATAAAAATGAAACCATTGAGTTGGCATCTTTGGGATCCCAGGCCTATGAGCTCCTGCATGCTTTCTCCCATGTAGAAGGGATGAAAGCAGATGTAGCTGCCTTTGGACCTTGGTGCAGGGGCTTTCTCTCGCTGCCTCCTTAGAGCCTATAGATTTCACTTTAAATGTCTTTTCCTCAGAGAAGCCCTCCTGGATTATGCAGTATAAAGTAGATTCATGGATGAAGCTGGAAGGGATCATGCTCAGTAAAATAAGCCAGAAAAAAAAGAAAAATGCTGGATGGTCTCACTCATAGCAGGAATTTAGAAAACCTAAATAAGGGAACAGGAAAAAGACTAATTATAATAAAGTAAAAGTCAAAATCAGCAAGCAACTATAAACCAGAGACACACTGGAGGTGGGGAGGGGAAGGAGTAGGCTCAAAACAAGGGTGGTGGGAATTGTATGGGGACTACAACCAAGATGAAAATGCATACATTGTGCAAAAATGAAAAATGATGTAAAATATATGAAATTAAAAAATTTTAAAAAATAAAGTAAATTCCCTTTTGTTAGTCCCTTTAAAATCTTCTTATCCTTTGTTATCTTCAGGCTGTCTACTCATCCACATGGAGTTCTCATTAGCTAGCCTTAATTGTGATTCAAGTCCAAGAGCATACATACTTTGAGAGAGCTATCAAAGATTAAAAATATTTAGGAACCAAAGGAATAAAAATTTGCACACTAATTATAAGATTCAGATGGAAAAATAAACAGTGACAGATCACTATCATCCTTGGTTAAAGTTTTGTTAAACTTAAAACTACAAAAACTACAAAAAAATTAGTTAATCCATAATGGTAAATAATAACAAGCCTCTGTACTGAGGGCAATGAAAGGGATGCGAGTACAAACTTGACTTACTCCTTGTTTTTTCTGGAGCTGTACTTCTAATTAGCTAACGTGTAAGCTTATTGTGATTTGTATCAGCTAATAGATGAGCTTGTGTGGGTCTAGTTCATCTTCTTGCTTTTGGGTAAGCCAGGCAGGAGAAATGAGCTAAATTCCATTTCAAAATTTCATTAGGGAAAGGTTTTTGAGAGTCTGCTCTGCAAGTTTGGGACTCATCCTAACAGTTAATTACAGACCATATCTTTTGGGCAGTTTTTCATGTTTCTTTACGACACTTGGTTACACTGTTTTTACTATGAAGAAACAGTGAGTTTTTAGTGTATAAGCTTCACTCTCCCTTTGCTATCTCAGGATGTGGTAGCTGGAAAGCCTCCCTGTGGTTTTTTGTAGCTGGCACCTCCATTTCCCACTTCTGCCCCACCATCTTTTCCTTTGCATGACATCACATCCTATCATCCTGGGCAGAAATAGACAAAAATAGACCTAGGGGTAAAATATACTAATGAAATTCTGTGTCCAAGCCTCATTGGCCCAGAACTGGTTCATGAGCTGCTGTCTCATTATCACAACAAAGGTGTGAAAATCTCTTAATATAGCAGTATTTTCTCTCAATGTATGTTAAGAAATGAGGGGGGGAGCACTGGTTTTTAATTATGTATAGTTTATCTATACATAGATTTAAAGATTCTTGAAACAGGACATACAAACAGGAATTACAATACTAGAACATTCATAAAGGAATTAAAAAATTAGATTTTGAAAGTGGTTAAAAATAGATTCTAGCCCTGGGCATCCCTAGTGGTGCAGGGGTTGAAGTCTCAGCACTATCAAGCTATTAACACCGGCCACTGCAACATGAGTTTGATCCCTGGTCAGGGAGCTGACCCACATGGTGCAGCAGGCATCTCTTATCTTGCCCACTGCTCCCCTGAGCAGTGCATTTCAGTCAATCTGCCCGTTCTGCTCCCCACTCTGTCTCTGGTGAATCCTCTCATTCCCCCCCACCCCAATTCTTATATGCATAAATAAATGAAAATAAATCTTTAAAATAACAGATTCTAGCGTTTTGGGGCTAAACAATCAGCAGCAAAGAATTAGATGATATGACTGTTCTGACTCAATATTATCGCTCTATAGACTTAGATTTCAAGATCGTATAATGGCCTATATTATTACTACTTATCTATTAGTAATAAAGGTTTGATTATGTAGTAGTCAAACAGAACTGTATTCTTTTAATTTTACACGGGAAATTTTTTTTTAAAGATTTATTTATTTATTTATATAAGCACTGGGTACAGTCAGAAGTGCAGGAGGGTGAGAGAATTCACCAGAGCCAGAGCGGGGAACAGAACAGGCAGACCGACGAAATACACTGCTGAGGGGAGCAGCGGGCGTGGCAGGAAAGGTCTGTGCGCCATGTGGGACCCTCGCCGGTGGCCGGGGATCGAATCGGTGCTGCAGAGGCTGCGGGCAGCTTTGCAGCCCAGCGCTCAACTGCTGCGCCACCAGGGGAGGCCCCAGGAAATTTTTTTTTAAAAGATTTATTTATTTTTATACAACAGCTGGGGTACAGGCCAGAGGAGCGGGAGGGTGAGAGGTTCACCAGAGACAGAGAGGGGAGCAGAACAGCCAGACGATGGAAATACACTGCTGAGGGGAGCAGCGGACGTGACAGGAGAGGTCTGCAAAGCCATGTGGGAATCTCCCTGTCCAGCCGGGAATCGAACCCGAGCTGCAGAGGCTGTGGACAGCCTCACAGCACTGCGCTCAACCCACTGTGCCACCGGGGAGGCCCATACACAGGAAATTTAAAATTAATCATTGACTTGTTTAATTCTCATGCCTTTTCCAGTCATCTCTAACTTATGTTATTTCTACAAACTACCTATTGTAAAATAGTAAAAGATGACTGTTTATTGATAGATAGGAGTTACAGGAAGTAGACTTGATGAAGTAACAATTTCATTTAGTTTATAAAATGAAGAATTAATATTTTTATTATTTAGTTGTCTTTGGGAATATGTGGTTAGTTTGAATTTTAATTGGAGCTAAGAAAGAACAGATTAAAAACAAGACAAAATTTCAAATATTTGAATATTTGGCTGCCCAAGATATACATTTTGTGTGTGTATGTTAAATAATTTTTGAATTATTTTAAGATTAATTTACATTTTAGAAATAATAAAACTTAATAATAAATTATATAACATCACTATATGCTTATATAAGCAATTTATAAATTCTACATATTAAATAAACCTATGAGCTAAGAAGCCTATTGGCTAAATAAACATAATAGCTAAATTAAAGAAAATAGCAAATAATGGTGATAAGTAACACTGAGGGGTAAATGTAACAGTATTGTCCAATTAATACTGTTTGCAGTTTCCATGGTGACACTAGACTGTCTTCTCCCCATTCTTTTAAAAAACAGATTAGCCCATAAACCCTTAGATAAATATTGCCCTTCTCCAGTAATTGAATGACTTAATGAATTTAAAGTTTCT